TGTGTGTGGCGCGATTTTATTCTTAACATTTTATTTCTCCGGGTAATTTAATTTCTATTTCTTTCTTCATTCCATAATCTTTTACACCATAAAATGTATTTACCATGAACGTTGTATAAATATTCATAGTAAAGTTTTAAAAATCCAAATAAAAGTACAAAATTTTACGATGGTGCAAAATTTTTTAGTATCTCCTTATGTCACTTGATATTCCCTCCACATGTACCGTCGTATTTATGCTCCCGAACTCCCGCACAATAAACGAGATATTTTTAATCTTGATAGAACTGCCCTGAATGAGCTTCTAACTGAAGCACGGTAATTTTAAAGCCCGCTTAAAAGGAAGAATAAAATTACCTAATGCACGAAAATCGCGAAAAGCGAACAACATTTTAAAATAATAATGAAATAAAGTCTACAGTTATTTCACCGCAAATCCGTACTTGGTATTGATTGTCAGGAATTTAAAGAATTTCGAGAAAATTCAATGTGCACGTAGACGATGAGCAAATGTCGCGGTAAATCGATAACACCTGTATTTACAGGATATAGGTTATTTTATGTATATTAATAACATTGCCCCGCTCCAATTCCACGTTGATATAAATTAATACGATAAATGTCACGCTTTTACCGCAGAGCGCGTTTCTGCAAAAGCGGTCAAATTACGTTCAATTGATTCACCATTTGAGTAAAGTCGCATTGTCTCGACAATCCGAACAACAATCGCGAAGCTCGAAGACAGGGACCCAAATGGCGTTTCCATTTATATACCGTTTATTTTATCGATAAACGTGTTCGCGACACGACAGCGCGCGGCCGCCGAGTTATAAAATCAGGCATCGTCGTTCGCATCGCGTCGACGGGGCACGATAAAAACAACCGGTGCGCTTGTCGAGATTTCGCGAGAACTGACCGGCCGATGCGAATTGATATCGCCGGTGCGCGTACTCGCTGCCCGCGGAAGCGCGAAAGTTTCATAAATCGTCTGAAATGCGAGCAACGTTTTATCAGGGCGAGCGCGCGTACTCGGGAACTCGGAAATGAGTCCAGTATCTAGAGACTCGCGAAATACGAGCATCGGGAGATCGCGAGCCTGGGGAGCGCGACAGGAAATTGAAAAATTCCGCGTCCCCAGGGGGAGCGCCAAGGCAACGAGGTACGTAACGAGATTTCGTCGTTCGACGAGTACGAAGATGAAATCGCGCACTCGAAACTCGGCTAGCTGGACTCGTGTACTTTTTCACTAATCTCCGGATTGCGCCTCGACGAGATCAAATCGCCGAAAGTGCCGAGATCAAAAACGTTGATTATTGACGCAGTTAGTTAACGTTATGTAACGGTGAGTCCGAAATGCAGTGCCATTAATACTGTTGAAACATGCAGTTTGTTTGAAAAAAAAAAATCAGTATTTCCCAATCAAGCGGAAAAGATGCTAATGAATTTATCCTCATTGTATTAAGCATGTAATTTAAAAATTTAAAGATTATTTGATGTCTTAAAATTGTTTTTTAATTTACCGACATTTTATTGACAAAATATTTTTATATCAATTCTATAGCAATGTCCCACATTATGAGTTTCATATTAATCGTGCGTTTGATTCAGGCAAAAAATAAAAATATGCGTATAATTAAATCTGTTATAAAATAAAAATCACAAAGATTCTTTTTATTATCGCAATTATTCAGTTTCTACGAAATCCACGGAATGCTGGTACTTGACGAGAACAGTAGGCCCATTCAAGTTACATCTCGAAGGAAGAAAGGTTCTTTCAACGATATTGCTCGTTTCCGCGCGCGCGCGCACGCGCCTTCCAGTTCAGCTCTTTCAATCCCGAAACTTGGTAATTACAGCCGGGCTTTCTCGTGGTGACTTTGCCAAAGTGTTATAAACTCGGATAAAAATGATTCAACGGTCGGTTGAGGTAATTAACGGATTAGAATCTTTGCGCAATAAAGTTCATCCTACTGATCCCATGATCGACGACAGTCATCTTGTAATTAAGATTTCGTCGCCAGATGCT